TCCAAGGAACAAATTCAAAATTTTTTAAGATGTTTAAATTATGTAGAAGGATTTATTAAAAATTTTTCTAAGAAAAGACATAAAATTCAAGTTTTACTTAGAAAAATAAATACTAAGGGATGGAATGGAGAACATACAGAAATTGTTAAATCATTAAAAGAAGAATGCAAAAATTTACCAAGATTAAGATTAGCAGATGAAAAAGATAATTTGATTGTTAATACTGATGCCTCAGATAAATATTTGGCAGCTTCCCCGCGGGGTTTGAGCTAACCGTGATGGATAGAAAAAGTCAGTCGTCCCTTCGGGTTATGGGTTAAAGTGGGCGCTTCATCTTCGGTCCATTCTCTCTGTCCTGATTATCGCGCGAGCTGAGGGGGGAACTCGGCAGAATCCACTCACTCAGAAGAAGAAAGAGTACACGAACCAAGATCTGTTGAAGGAAATCGAGACTATTTGAGGTCTGCCGATCAGGGTTCCCGTTTAAGAAAGCTGTGTTAGCTTTGTATTGGCTCCCATCTTACTTAACGGGGCCCTTAGTTGAATACCGATCCAAGGTCGCTCGGATTTATCCATGGTTTTTTGTGTTTTTTTGTTTAGTTTATTTCTTATCCCAAAATCCTATTTTTCTTTCTTAATTGTAATTTATTAAAAACAAATCTTAATGAAATTTGTAGATACTTAAGTAGAACCTTTAACCAAGTAGAAATAAATTATACAACTCATAAAAAAGAATTACTAGCAATTATTAAAGGAATAAAAAAGTTTTCATTGTTTTTATTATTTAAGAAATTTATTGTTGAAACTGATAATTCTCAAGTTACAGGATTAGTCAGGAATAAGTTACCATCAGAACCACAATACAGAATGCTTCATAGATGGCAAACTTATTTAGCATTTTATAATTTTGATATAGTTCATATTAAAGGAGTTAATAATTTTCTTGCAGATTTTCTCAGCAAAAACATAGAATTTGCTGATGGATAAAGTCAAGGCCATGGAGTTATACCAATTTATTATACAAATACAAGAAATGACAAATTTTCTTAAAGAAGAATCTGAAGATATAAGTTTTGGAGCAACCCAAATCCCTGAGATGTTCAACTCAAATATGAAAATATTGTTGAATATCACTACTGAGCATCATAAATATGCCATGGAACTCAAAAATCAAGTTGATGCTATTGCAGTACAACTAAAAAATATACTATTTGAAACAGATATATCAAAAAGCTCAGAAATGAGTTTTCCAAATCAATACCAAACAGGTGGAAACAGCAGTGGACCCAAATATGACAACATACCAACTGATAATAAAAGAAATTTCATTTCTGTATCATCAACCAAGAAAGTTATGATACATGGAGATAAAAAAATATACCAAAACAATCAGTATCATAGACCAAGAAGATAAAATCCCTTAAAATCCAAACGAAGAAAAATATGTCGAAATAGTCAAAATCGCTTATAAAATAAAAATAAGTGATTCATATTTCATTTTTTCGGGAAATAATGTTTACCCTACAATAACAGTCATGGAAGGAGGCGACCCTTCATTTATAAAAATCATGACAGACTATGGATTCATTGATTTGATTTATCTATGAAAAGATTTTATTGAAATTTCAAAGTTTGATGACATATTCATTAAGGAAGTATCCATATTTTCAAAGGAAAGGAAGATATTTTTAAAATTCTATTCAATCAGTCCAGAATATGATGAAGTTGTTTACTATCCAGTTGAACATATAATCTCAATTGGATATGTTGCAGCCAATTTCCAATTTGATGTTACAGAGAATAATAGAAAAGTCCCAACGGTGACAAAATCATGGATCAGACATAAAAGAGCACTTAGAATTAAAGACATCTACAACATTGCCAAAAATTTATTTGATAAAAAATTCTCGTGCCTGTGCCAATATGAAAATTGGATGTTGGTGTCTAATAGAGGATATGCAAAATCAGAAATTTTAAAAGACTATATTACAAGATTTGATATACATCAATTTTCAGGATGTCCTACCACTATAAAAAAATCCTGATAGTTAAGAGAGTGCCCCAATTATATGTGAAGAAATGAAAGAAGAAGACAAAGCACCTTTTGACAAAGGTGTACGAAGAACAATAATACTACATGTGAAGATATTAAAAATAAAGAGCAAAATAGAAAAAGATGCTTTTTGGATAGAAAAGTTGAACCAACATGTGAAGATGTAGGCTCAAGGAAGAAAATAGAGAGGCAAGAGTGCCTTTGCTGATGTAATCAATGATATAATAAAGTCTCATAAACTTGTATAAATTGAGACATTACCATAGAAGGAGATCATCTTATATTGAATTCTCTAGTTGTAAGCAATAGCCTATTCTTAGTTTAAAAAATCAATTTTTTCTAAAAATTCCTTTGTACCAAATAGAAATCTTGTATCAATCCTGATAGAAATAAAATTCCAATATTTTAATATCAATATGAATTTCTAAATCTTTTTCCCATAGATTCTTGAAAGATCTAATAGAAAGTTTCCTTCTTATTTTAGCAAAAAGAGAGTTTTTTTTAACAGAAGTCTAAAATTTTATTCTTTAGAAGTTGATACAATGCGAGCAAGTAGCTGAAATAGTAACAATTCCGTGAAGGCAGGAGGCCGTTGAAGGAAGCAATTTACAAATTCAGAGCTCAAAGGTCACTCAATTCTAAGAATACAGGTCTAGATCAAACCTAAGATAAAATTATTAAACTTTTGCTAAAATTAGAATGAATATTTTTAAGATCTTAAAAGAATCGCAGAGACAATTGCATGATGATTATTTTGATAAATGTCAGGATATAAAATTGAAGGATTAGATAATTTATTAGAAAGAATGTTAGAAGAAATAAAAAATATTATATCTCAATTAAAAAAATATAAATTTACCATTTGAAGAATATGATATTTTATTAAGAAAATATGATATGTATGTTGTAGATTATTCTTATTTATTAGACTTAGAATGATTTTATATTCAAATATCCAAAATAGAGTAAATAGAAGGTAAAATGATTAAAAGATTAGGACATATGTTGCAATATAGAAAGAATCATTTCATTAAGAACAACATAGACATTTCCATAAAAAAGAACAGTAATAGGTCAAATAGAAAAATCTCCCTTTATTACGTTTCAATTTTTATGTTTTATTTTTAAATGAACGCCACATCAGTTTGTAAATGAGTATTGTCTACGAGTGTTGTACGTATGGCGGCTTCGATTGTAGACTTGTTTTTCTCACTAACTATGATATTAGTTTAACGGGAATGGATGCAGCTATTGACACTAATATTAATGTTTTTTTGTAAATGATGTAGCTATTGCACTAATAACTCGTTTGGCCCCTCATTTTGTAGAAATGAAAATGGGTGAAATAGCGTTTTTTTGAAAATTGAGTGGTTAAAAAACTATGAAAAATCTTCGATTTTTACATGTAATATTATTTTGTAGAAGATTGTGTAGTTGAAAATAGGAAAGAAAAAAATAAAATGTAATGAAATGGAAATTAATGGGAGCCAAACAGGGGCTAAGAATCATCTGAATTCTCAAAAATTATTCTTAGTCAACAAGAAGTAAGTTTTTATTGAAATATTGTATTTTTTGCATGACCGTAATAAATTTAATTTTTTTAACTTATTGTAATTTAATTTTATTTGTTCTAAATATCAGGAAAATGATGGCGACTTCAATATATGCAATTATACTCAAAATTTTACCACTGACCAACTACGAATATAGCAAATATTAAATTTATGTATACTAATTCAACTCTTGGTACATTTTTTTTTAAATTATAATTTTTAAATATTGATTATGTAGGTGTTCCACAGTCAAAAGTCATTATGTAATTGGGTTTATATAATTGAGAAGGAACTTGTTTTGTTAATTATTATAATACATTCTGATCGTGATGGTTATTGATGCAAGCCTCATATACGCTTTGCATGTGAGTATAGTGAAAAATATAAAAATAAAAAATAAAAATCATTCATATCATGAACCAAACGAAAGAAGTCTGTTGGAACACGTAAGTGTAAATGCCCATTCTAATTGCATTCAAGGGAAGTTGGTTCTAATAGTTACTTATGAAACTATGGCTTCACTTTTTCATATGCAGAATCTCCTTGTCGAATTGCTTACAAGAATATCCCATGAAACTCTTTTGAGTTCATTGGATTTGCTCTGCTCCCTTGAGGTTGTCACCATCTTTCGTGAAATATGGCAGCTCGTCAGCAAATCAATGGAGGCAAACTTGGAAGGACCAAGAACCTATTTTGGAGAAACAACATGGCAATAGGATGAAGGGAGGCAGATTTTGCAGAGCTTTAGAGATTTTGCCCGTATGAATATGGTTTGGTAATCTTCCTCGATCTCTGATTTACGATGGCTATGTAATGATGAGGGAAAGATTGAGAAAATGAGGATTAATATTGGTAAGTACACCAAAATATTGTATTCTTTTTTGTCAATTATTTTTTAATGAATTAGGAGTATAATCGTAATTTTATTGTGGCACATTTATTAAAAATATAGCCCTCGTTTGGTAACAATTTCATCCCAAAAAATCAATTTTTTTTTACCGTTATTTCACTATTCCAATCTTTATATTTGATTTCTTCACTTACAGGTGAAATCCACTTTTTCCTCTAATAGTTAAAAAATCAATTCTCATAATCACACCGAACATGCCCAAAATCTAATTATGATGTGATTATAATGTTGTGTGATAATTAAATTTGTAGTGATAATATAATTACCCTTATCAAAATTAGATATTAGATTAATTGACAAGTATGTAATTGGACATTTTTGTAAATTTTCCTTTTTAAAATTGTGTGGATAATTTGATTTAATTTGATTTCGACACATAGTTGATAGAGACCTATTCAGACTCGAACAAGGTTTCAATTGGATTTGACAATTTCTTTCCACCCATTTGAGCATTTCTGAGTCGCACTACTTGTGTTCCCATGTCAATACTAACTCATTTTAACTTATTTATAAAAATAAGTACTTTTTCCGTCATCTAGTCTAGTCAAACATGGTTTAAAGGGGGTGGAATGTGGAATGGGGGAATCCACTAGCAGATCTGGAACAAAAAGTTGAAAGATACCATAGAAATTGTAACGAAAGAAAGGATATTCTTTTCGATACTTACCGTACAACCATTGTTCTTTCCTAGTTCTCTACGAAGTCGATACAAATATATACACAATACATATAGGATACATAGACTATGGTATATGTATATACTGACACTACAAAATTCAGCTTTCTTGTATGAAAATACAGAGATCAAACCAGTTGTAGTGAGTGTTTTTGTGAATAGTGCAAAGGGATTAAGGGAAAATGTTGGAATTGAGAGAGGGGAGTTGCTATCCGAAGGCGTTGGTGGGAGTGAACGTGGGTCTTGCCTGCGTTGATGGGGTGATTGCAGCTATCGCTTTCTGTCAGGTAAGAATTACTGTCAATTCTACACTTTTCGGGATACAGATTGAGAGTTGCATTGCTAATTTGATGATGAAACTCGTTGGGTTTTTTGGACAATAGTTAATTTTGTAGATGGTTCGTGGATTGGAAATCGTGTTAAGATATCCAATCTTTAGTTTTGGTGAAGGGAAGAGATTCGAATTCCTCCTCCGCCATTTTCATTTTCATATTTTTTTTTTCTTTTTTTCTTTTTTTTTGGGGAAAAATTAGATTTTCTTAGAGTTTAATTGGTCATGATGGATGACAATGCTGCAAGAATATTAAGCAATGATTTCAGAATGAAATGTGATAACTTGTTTATGATATTCAAGAATCGATGAGGCCTAGGCTGCTATTAAAATTCTCTGTACACATTTCAGTTTGGGAATCACGCTCTATGTTATTCTTTGATATATTTGTTTCTGCATTTGATCTTTTGACATGTTTGCATGTTGCTGCGTTTATTACTGCTTCTAAGGATATACCACTCGATAAGATTTGAGAATATTAGTATTTTCTTGTGTGTTGTGCCAGTTGATAAGGATTCATTCAAGGAACTCACATCTTGACTGGACGCGGCAAAAAGTAAGCAGCTGTTCAATTCACAAAACTCATTCCCCTTTGTTTGCCTTCAACAGTATGTACATTATATTTTCAACAATAGTTGCAAATTGCAGAACATTATCTTAAGTGAGTTTCTTTTAGTTACTGGATAAGATGGACCCCAATGAAATCCTGTGACATTTATCCGTGTTGTTATATTCTAGTTTTTGTCTGAAGTCTTGTCACAAACAAGAAAGAAGAAAAAAACCAACATATGTTAGTTAAGATGCATTAGGACTATTTGATGACTGTGGTTTTTTATTGAAAGTACTCTAAAAATATCTTTCTGTGATTGATGTTCTTTTTGCAGTACTCTGTAGTTTCTGCCTTTCTGTATATACTTTTTCATTTCAGACGAAGTTTATTAGAGTGTTAAAGTACAAAACTATGATTAAACTAAAAACCTAGTCAAGAATTGGTCTTGGACTCGGGATTGATGGGTATTAGACATGTATTTTGTTGTGAATATTTGTTTTCCAATTTCTGGTAGAACATTTTATGCGGTGGGTTTCTTGAGTTTGAATTGCACGTACCTCTCAATTTTGCAACTTGTAATATGTGCATACGGTTCATGATAGTACTAGTCGAATAGATAGACAAGAGAGCGATGCTGGTCTATTGGTGATTGTTATTTAAGATATAATATATATGGCTGTTTATTTTGTTTTATCAAAGTGTAAATCTGATAAAATCGTATCTTAAATTGCAGGTGTTTCATTTAATGATTGGATCCTCTAATTTGGGTGAGAATTTAATAGTTTTAGAATTGTTGTTTTCTCAGACCTTTCAATTGATGCAGCCTTTGATAATATCACTAAATGGCAAATGAAGCATATAACCTGACTACCACAAGTGATATTGTTCCTCTGTTAATTATGAATTTGAAAGCCCTGAATTTACATAATATGCATTTATGTCTGTGGTGGCTCCAAAGTAAGTGCAAAATGATGCTTGAAAACCAAATGTATGGAATGTCAAATGCCACAGTAATAGTCCCGAAGAATATGGGTTAGAAACAAAATAAAAAATAAAAAATTTGTAGCTAGTGGTTTATGAGATGCGAGGCCCTAAGCAAGGCAGAATGGTTTCCTGGATTGTTTTGATGCTACAAATAATTAGAATAAAGTAGGCTTTAGCAGCTCTTCACTAAACTTTAGCCGCTGGGAGTGGGAGACGTTTCGAGGAATGCGGTCACACTCGCTCACTCTACAAGTTCGGTTGATTGGTTCATATTTTTGTGCCTTGTTATCTTCACAATCTCATCAGCAGTACCTATGCATGCGTGTTTAATTTTAATCTATTTAGCCTTCCGACGACGAAATTAGGCTATTTAACATGAACAATTGAAGAAGAGGAGAAAGAGAGGGAAGAAAAGAAGAGAGATTTTGGAGGGAGACTTGTAATTATATTCAATGATAAAAGTTGTGTCTTATTACAAGTAAAGAGTCTCTTTATATGTAGTCTAAACTAGGATCAATAAGGAAAGTAGGGTTTCCTCTACAAAGGAAACCAAATCAGTTGTCTTACAAGAAAATAATGAAAATACTATAAAATCCTAATTGATTTAATTTCTTATAGGTGTAGAATAGACATTCCATGTCGAATCATTTCTCCACGACTGAAATGGATTCTACTCTAACGAGGTATAATCCAAATAAGCGTCCAAAAACTTTTCATCCAACTGATAGAAATCATCTTCAGTAATCCTAGTAGCATTGCTAGTTGGATGACCCTTCCAATGCACCAAAACCCCCGAAAATTTTTGATGATAAGGTCACGTCAAGTAGTATGTACAACAGGAAGAGGAGTATACATCCCAACATTCATTGTAAAATTGAAAAATAATGCGAGCAACGTCCTTCTTAAAGAAATGCCAATACTATCGATCCTTGACTAAGGCGATAGTTTATTTGGACCAAAATAACTAGCCAGACCCCATGCATGTAGTTTCAGTAAGGAAGTCAAGAAGCAATATATGGGGGAAATACAATTTGGTTCCTTTGAAAAGATAACTATCTTCATTTATAGAAGTAGCTAAGAGTTCGTAAAAGATGATGCTTAAGTCGGGACCACTAAAATAATCGTCCTTCAAGTGCTCAAATCCCACACAATAGTACTCATAGAATGAATAACCATAGTGATACGACTAAAAACATCAGCCACTTAGTTTTTTACTCTGGCCTGGTGGTGAACAAAAGCATGCTCTTAAAAAATTCGACCTACATAATATATTGTTCACTTAAATTAGGATGGGAATTAATGTAATAAAGAACGTGACAGTAAGAATAGAGAATGCTCTTTTGGCAATAAATAATACTGATAGTAACAGAGAAATTGGACAACGGCATAGAACTCTTTACATAAGTAGAATACATCTACCTAGCCTCATTTAATTTCTCACTAGCGAAAGTGACAGGTAGACCATATTGACTTAAGCCACCATCTATACCGCAGCAGAAGCATCGCAGACAATCTATATAACGTAAAAGGATCAGGGTTGTACGAAAAGGGAGCCTCGATCAACTTTTGCTTAATGCGAAGAAGGCTTTCTGGGCCAAGTGTTGCAATGAAAATTCCCTTTTCACACACTCGGTGAGGGCTATGAGAGAACTAAATCCTTGAACGAATCTCCTATGAAAGGAAGTTGACCCAAGAAAGCTATGGGCTTCAGTCAACATTGTAGATTTAGGCCAATCACGAATAACAAAAATTTTAGTTGGATCAGCAAAAATACCCTAGGCAAAAATGATGAATCCTAAGAAGAGAATTTATGACCATAGGAATGAACACTTTTTAAGGTTAGCATACAACTTCATAGAACAAAGAGTGAAAAGACTTGTCAAAGGTAATCTAAATACAATTTGATTACATCTATCTAGTAAAGCATCAATTTGCCTATTTAGTTCAACTCGCTCAGCGGGATTTATCTTAGTGGGGACGATTTGATAACTAGGAACATGGACTAGATTGATAGCATGTGGAATATCTCACATGGAAGCAGCTCATCGGGTAGATATCACTGAACTCTTAGCGAATGAATGACCTTAAGTGAAAGTCAATGTGTGACTCAGAAGAGGGATGTGAACAAGCTTAAATAACCAAAGCAAATATCATTCCATTTCCATGACCCTCACGCTCAAAGTCCTTAAAGGACAAAAACTGAGTCCGGGTATCTGCAACATCCATGGGTTTCAAGATGGGCATTGGTTCTAGGACTTGTCGAAACAAGATGAATAGACCTCTCCTTATGGACAGACTCACAAGTATTGTCTCGCCCTAAATGCTTAGCTTATTGATTCAATTTCTCCTACACCTAGAATATACTTTCCATGTTGCATTACCTTTTATCTTGAAGCTGTTTGTTGCCAATGATCTCAATTATTTGTCTCAGAAGATAGTTGAAGTCCTTGTCGGCATCACGTGATGGCTAATGAAACATAACTTCTTACTGGCAGGGTATTTCTTTTATTTTGTCTTAAGTCTTGTTGCTGCTTGCAAGGGTTGGCTTTGCTGGTCAAACTCCTGTGGTTTCGTTGTCATGGGTAGACAAAATTCTAACATTCAACCTTCTTGAGTGGTTACAAAACTTCCGATTGACAATTTAAATGTTGCTTAAACCAGAAGATATTATTTTTGCAGCTTTCCCCAAAATTCTGTTTGTTGCAGCATTTCTTCTACTCTTGTCATTCTGGTAAGTTATTCTCTTTTTGTTACTCGAGAATTTGATTGCTTTGTTTTCAACTTGTGTTTTAATACACAGCATTGAGGATCTAAATTCACTGCATGATAAAAATTTTGGTGTCTGTAATAGTCAAATGTGTTGTTACCCATCAGCAGTTCGCCTCTGTTTTGAATTAATAAAATACAAATTAAATAATCATATTATAAATGAATATTAAATAATGTGGTTGTGATGTTCATTGCAATACAGTTGCTGTTAAGAATATAATGTAGTATATGAAGCAAACTTAACGTCAAATACAAGTGTTTTTTTTTTTTTTTTTTTTTGACATCCAATATTGTATGGAAAAGGACTGAATTTGTGGACATTCACTTTATTGCAATCACTATGTACAGTGTTAGGTGGCCAGTATTCATTCACTCATAATGGCACTGTTCTTTTACTGAAGATCATGTAGGACCATAATTAATACAATCTGGTCAAGTAGATAGTTTTCCATATAATTTTTTTTTTTTTTTTTGCAACTTTATTTTCAGTATAAATTTAGATTTTGTAAAGAATTAAAGTTTTTCCAAAGTTGGTTTCTATGCTTGACTTTTTTTATTTATGATGGAAAAGTTTGAAAGTTACAATGTTTATTTTCTTAACCATGGATGTCTAGAATATCATTGGTACTCCTGTCTTATCACATGACAGCAGAACTGTCATTTTATGGATGAATACCTGATACCACTGAAGAATTAATTCAATGTTCAATACTCATTTGATGCTAATTTTCGATAAAGTAATTGATTTCTGAAACTATAAGATAACCTTCAACGGGAATGGTTTCTAGGGTTGACCTTTGCCATCAGTCAAATGATGATGATGAGGATGAAGGATACAGTCCCCGAGAAACCCTGCTGGAGAAGAGGAGAGCTGATTCTAATACCATTAGTTGCAGAAGATTTTTCTCCTTTTCGGCGATCCGTACAGGAAGCAGGCAAAAAATTGTGATTTTGGTATTGAAGCAGTAAATCATTTGTATACATTCATTTTCCGTTCCTTGGAAACACTGTACTTTTGTGTTCTCATCTGTATTTTAGTTTATCTAATAATGAATTTTTCACCAGGTTACTGTGATAGTTTTTGCAATAATGATAGGATGTGCTGTGCTAATCTGGATTGGCATGAGAAGGAACCAGATGGTTTCTGAAATCGTTGCTCAGGCATGTATACATGGACCTCTGGTTTCTTTTTATTATCCTATGTTTGTAAACAAATGCTATGAGGTTGCTTCTCAATGTTTATTGTGATGTTGTAAGCTAACACATACAATTTAGTACAATTTTTGAATGGTATTATAGTTAATGGCTTCAATTATGGGAAAATATACCTGCCATGTTTATCACAGGATGCGTTTGAACATAATAGTTCCAGCTACACTGACATCTTTGCAATTGAGCAACACTTTGGTCTTGCAGTATGACACTTGTATGCAGTTATAGTACAACTTTTTTATGGTGATCTAAGATACATCATCTTTGTTATGTAATTTCTCATGAGTAAAAAGTCCCCTTCTGTGTTATTATTCAATACCATTTGGTATGCATGTACTGTGATATAAAATCAGTCATACGACTAGTTCAGTAATTCAGTTATCAGTATTCTGCCTCCCTCTCCCATCAAGATTTAGCATTTCAGGAGATGAAATAGAAAGAAATACAGTTTGCTCTTTAGCCGATTAAAGTTTAAAAACGAGGAGACTTCTATTGGGTTATGAATAACTGAACCATGGCAATGTCCTTACTGATGAGTTTCTAACAAGACTTGACCTAACAATGGCTAATTATTTCTGTTCATAGTGGAATTTTGTTTGGTTAATTTAATTGGCGCATTGTCTTAGAAGTGGGATACTTTCTGTTTCCATGATGTAAGATGTTCAAAGCGATTCATTTTGTTTTTATTTGGTCCATTTGTTGTTGCTGAACTGGAGACATGTCTTTAAATGGCAACTGGTTTAAGTGACACTAAAATAATTCTAACCAGTAATTCTCGTATGGAAATGTATTAGTCTGTCTGTCTCTCTCTCTCTCTCTCTCTCTCTCTCTCTCTCTCTCTCTCTGTGTATGTGGGGTTAGGGTTGATGAAGGTGCAATTTGCAATAATCTTGCAGGTATACGTAGATCTTTTTGCCATTGCAGTTCTTTTGCTGGGAGGAGCCTTGGCATGCTACGGTGAGCGCTGATGATGCTAACCAATTTTTTTTTTGCTTTTTGTGTTTTTCAGTACTAATTTTATTTATTGTTTTTTTCTACTCTTTATACTCCTATTTTCTGAAATTTTGGCTTCATGAAACCTTCGAGAGAAGTGGATTGACTGGGTATATTTTTATTAGGGCAGGAACTTTCCTTTATTTTATGATGAAGCTAATTCACAATGAATCTTAAGCGTGTATCTATCATGAATATGATTCATCTGACATTGACCAGCTGGTGGTGATCTATACTAATACCATTTGGCTGACAATAAAATAACATGTATAAAACCTGGAAAAGAAGATTCTGGGAGTGATGTTCCAGAAAATAACGACTCCGAAGGCTGAAGCCAAAAAGGCTGTTGCCGATGCACATTATATATTGTTCCTTATAACATTTTAGTAAAAAGTACATTCTGGCAGACATTTCTGTCTATAAATTGTCATCAATGAAGTAAGGAAAAAAAATTAAGAACATGCTTAATAAAACGCCAATATGTGTCAAGGGTACCAAATTATAGAGCCTGTCAAAGTAAGAACTGTCTGAACTACTTGTTCTTCCTTATTTTTATCTCCATTCTTATCATCCTATTTAAAAAAAAAAAAAATTCCTGCTTCATGTCTTGAAATCAATGATTAGGTGTTATGATAAAAAATTTACTTTATTATTTTCTTAAAATGATTATATATAGAACAGAGTAGAGAACAAAGTTCTGAGAACAATAACCAAAACAAGAAGAGAGGAGAGTCAAGTGAAATTTAGTTGATAGCTATGCTCAATTGAGGATACTGCTGCATGACTAACGGCTGGAATTTCAGACATGGTAGTTGAGAGAACTTATGTGCAAGTGATATAAAGATTCTGTCGATCAGACACATGGTTTTCTTTTTGATTAATTTTTTCGACCCTGACAAATATCTGAATCTCATCCTGCTACATAATTTTAATTGCACCGGAACCTAGAGAAAGTATGATTGGAGGACCTTTGGGTTGAAATTATTTTGGGAAGGCACTGCTCATTTCTTGACCATAATTACGAAAACCTATATATTTATTATTAAGGCTTGCATAGGAGTTCCACTATGATTATCTTAAGTTCGCTCCTACTAATACTTCTCTTTTGTTTTACAGGGCTTATATTGTTCTTGAAAATGAGAAAAGTGAGATCTGAGCGTGTCTCATCAGATATGTGGAAGGTAAGTTACTCAATTGTACTCCAGGAAATTTTACTATGTTGCTCTAGAAAAATAAGATGCTTTACTCTTATTACGTTTGTCATTTAATGAGAGGAAATCATTGAAAATAGAAATTCCATTCATATTCAGACGTGTTAAATCTGTTGGAATTTATGTTTTGATGCCTTTTGCATATGGGCTATGGCTGAGGATGGTTTCAATAGTCTGGAAGTAGTTATCTTTTAGCAGTTTTATCAATTCAGTTGTTTGGTAGGAGTTGCATTGCAGTTGTTTTGTTCCCTTCAAAGTTTAAAGTGTACAGTTGTGACTCATGAATAAATTTCAGTTAGTCTGGAAATTGTCATTTCTTTTCCTTTTCTATTCTTCTTTTGGTGACAAGTGCCAAACTATTTCTTCATATGCTTATGGACATAATAATTAGTCTCTTTAATACACTATGGTGTTAATAGGTTGCAGATAATCTGGTGCAATAGGTGTTGGTACTGACTGTGTTACAATAATTATTTTTCCACAACATATTTCGATGCGTATAGGTTGCAGGTCTGGCGATTGTATCTGTTGTATGTTTCACATCAAGTGCTCTTGTTACTATATCTACAAATATACCTGTAAGTTTCTTGGTGATTCTATAGCAAGCTGTCTCCCATTCCTGTTTTCAGCAGAAGGAATTACTAATGAAAAGACTATCAATATTACAGCTGATTTATCATTGGCATCAAGAAGAGATAGACGGTGTTTATACGTCTCTTCTACTGGTTCTATATTATTTCATAGGTATTTTTTTGAACTTCATTAAATGATTTAAACTGGAACTCTTGAACCGTGTCATTATTCTTACGTATTTAGTATGCTATTCTAGATGGTAATGTTATCTTCCTAACCATTTCGAATGAAAATAATAACTGAGTGTGAAATTCTAGGTTGTTTGTGAACACCTTTATATTTTAGTCATTTTTGTGGGATAATGGATGTTGAACCAAGAAAGAAAGGTGGAGACAGGGAGTAGTTAGTTTTTTGTAATGGCCTCCTGAATCATTGTACTGCGAAGGCCATGCAGTCAAACTTCAAGAGTCTGGATTGTTGATATATTCATGTTTGCTTTCTCGCTATTTTAATTTCTAAAATAGATTTGTCACTTTGATGAGACAACTCAGTTCATATGATTTGCAGAACCTGTCCTTCCAACTGCCAGTTGATATGGATATCTGAAAGTCTTGATTATAATTATGAATTTTTTGGTATAAATTTGAATCATGTGACCAATGAAAAGATAGGAATTCATATGCTTTTTCAGAAGAATGATTTAGAACCAAATGTCGAATCTGTTTCCCATTTAGAGAGGGTAACTAGTCGAGAACTTTTATCTGCTTTAAAGACTCTCGTTCATGTATTAAATTGACTTTAAGTTATTATATTGATTTTTCTGTTTAATTAATGTGTTTTTATACTTTTTCTAGGTTCATCAGTGCCCTCAGCCTTCGTACTATGGGTAATGAGAGAGCTCCCTCCTCCACTTGTAACTAATCGAGAGCAAGAATCGAGAACAATAACGTTCATCAGAGACGATTCAGTGACAGTACATCCACCGACCTGGACTGCTGCAACAAGCATGTCAAACCAGGTTAGCCTCTAATCTAACGTTCGCTCTTGTGCAAATTGGTTTTATGGCTTTCCTGCAATTTCAATGATTGCTTCATAGTTTTGCATATCCTTGTGCTTTTGACTCTGAACAACACTTCTTCCAATTGATTTCATAATAGTCAGAAGGGTGGAGATGTTTGTAGGGTTTCAAAATCTGTGGAACAAAGGAAAACTCAAAACTAAATTGATTTAAAAATATATCCATAGACCAGAAAATTATTGATTGAAATTCGCCATGATGAAACTATATTTCAGTTCCAGTAATATATTACATTTGAGAAACCACTAGACATGATAATGAACAAGATTTCCATTTTTTTTTTTTTAAAAAGATTCCTTTTTTTTTTTTTTTTTTTTTTTTTTCCCTTCTTTAATTTCTGGTATTTATTCCTCTCTACCAAAGATGTATCTGCATTGTGGATATCTCGGTTTTATCAGTTGATTAGGGTTTGACATGAATGTAGGTATCAAGAGCAAGTCCCATATGAAATATTTTCTAAATTTTATTCTGCAACATTTGTCCGAGGCGAGGATATGGAGATGGATGCTGAAACGAGCAGGACTGTGACTGAGACTAGAAGTTGCTTGAATGCAAGATTTACATAGCATTCAGGGTTCAGCCACAAGATTGCTATTGCCATGATTCTGACAGCTTTATCTCTTGTATATATTATATATATTAACAACAGGTGAAACTAAATCGAATGGAGATTTCGTTTTAGTAATATCTGTCTACTAAGTTTCTCGAGTTTTTATTTTTTCAATGGCCTGAGCAGGTCAAGTTAATCAGGCTTTGTTTGGCTTCCACATGATGTATTGTGCCGTTAACTACTATATTGTAAACTATCCTTAGTACTTAATAATAGAGGAAGTTACTTATGTGTCTTTCTTGAGTGTCGAAATTTAAAGCATTAAATCAGTCAATTATTAACGAGGTAATTGTAAGCAATGCGCAAGAATTAGCACTAATAAACTCATGGAAAAAGTGGAAGAAATACTTATATTAAAATCCAAATATGTCTCAAGTTGTGGCTATATCAAACTCTAGATTAGAAATTTAGAACATGATTAATGTAATATACATAATCAAATTCAATATCCCAAACATGTTGAAAAAAGAAATAAAAACTGGTTTGGTACTGGAATTCTTCTTCTCTCCTACTGGCACTATGGCGCCACATCTCTGGCCTCTTCTGCTTCTTCTAGCGCTGCGATGCCAGACTTCTGTCTCTGCTGCTTCGTCTAGCGCAGCAGCACCAAATTTTTGTTATGGTTTCTTCTTTTAGCTTTGGTAATTTTTTTTATTTCCCTCATCCAAGGTCAATTTCAAGTCTCTTCCAGTTCATTTCACGCTTATATACTTTTGGCTCCTTCTCACGCTTCAAACTTGTAGTTTTCACCAAGTTACGTAAACTGTAATACACACGACACACATCAAAATGTTCTAAAATGTTCAAAGACAACCAAAATACCAAGTTAAGTAGCATTAAAAATGATGAGTGAAACTCACCATCACTTCCCCATTCACATGAATTGGACAAGCAGTAGGTCGTTATTACTCCAGGTAATCCCATTTCCCTTGAGGCCACTTTATCTTACCATAAGCATACACACAAAGCCTTTGTTGTTTCCATTAGCATACACACAAAGCCTAGAAACTTTAATGAAGCAATAGATTTACTTGAGTGGTGTAATGCAATGAAAGCTAAAATAAATACTTTTGAATTAAATGATACTTATGGGTTGTTGCTAATCTACCTCCCAGTAAGGAAGCCATAGAATGTAAATGAGTTTACAAGATGAAGTTAATGCTGATGGAACTATAGAGAGGTATGAAGCTAGGTTAATGGCTAAGGGATATGCAAAACAGGAAGGTCACAACCATGAGACCTTTTTCCCTGTGGCAAAACTTGTTATTGCGAGAACTCTCTTGACTGTAGCAATTGTAAAGAGTTGGCATTTGTACCAGTTTGATGTGAAAAATGCTTTTTTACATGGAGATTTAGAGGATATGTATATGCAATTACTACTAGGTTATCTTAATGACAATGTATCAAAACTTTTTGAATTAAAGAAAAGCTTGTATGGCACTAAACAGGCTTATAGATAATGGTACTCTAAGCTGTCTAACTTCATTATTGAGTAAGGTTTCACAGAGTCCAAAGTAGATTATAGCTTATTCACAAAAACCACAAAGTATTCTTTTACTGCCATTCTAATATATGTCGATGATATAGTGGCCAACAGTTGTATGGATTCTGTTAACATTCTCAAAGCTTCTCTTCATGATAAGTTCAAAATCAAGCACTTGGGACAATTGAAATACTTCCATGGAGTTGAAGTGGCAAAGACTGATTGAGGCATTCATATATGCTAAAGAAAGTATGCACTTGATATTTTAGCAGATTCAGGTAAAATCTGTGCAATACTAACTCGAGTTCCACTTGATCAAAATCTCAAGCTTTCTAAAGACCAAGGTGAGCTTCTTCCTAATCTATCGATTTATAGAAGACTGATTGGGAGGCTACTGTATTTAACCAAAACAAGACCTGATCTATCTTACTAAGTTCAATTGTTAAGTCAATTCATGGACGACCCTAGACTACCTCATCTTAATGTAGCTCACAAGATCTTAAGTTCTATTAAAAGAACTCCAGCGCAGGGCTTGCTTTATCGTGCTCAGACAAACTTACAGTTAATAGGTTATTTGATTCATACTGAGGATCATACCAAGATACAAAGAGATCTTTTCTGGTTATTGTATGTTCATTGGATTTTCTTTGGTGTCCTAGAAATTTAAGAAGCATGGGTTGTGTCCAGATCTTTTGCAAAAGCAAAATACTTAGCAATGTCAAATTGTTTTGTGAACTAACTTGGTGATATATGTTCTATGATTTGCAAATCAAACATCCGCTGTCAGCAACTATGTTCTGTGATAACAAGGTTGCACTCCATATAGAATCAAACCCTCTCTTTCGTAAGAAAGCCAAGCACATTGAGATTGATTGACATCTTGTACGAGACAAGATTCAAAATGGAAGTATAGTTAATAAACGTCAGTAGTGAATTGCAAATAGTAAATCTTTTAGCTAAAGCATTAAGTTCTCCAAGCTTTTACTCTCATTTGTTCAAGATGGGAATAGAAGATATCTACTCTCCACCTTGCAGGGGCTATTAGAAAATGAAACTCGACTGCAGCTTAGTCATCAACAATATCAACATCCATCTCAAGCCCACCCGATGACTAGTTGGACCAAAGACGTCTGAAAGCAGGAGAAGTGAAGGTTTTGGAAGAAAGAGAAGCCTAAGGAGTAAGGAATATAGTGGCTATCTGGCATTATGCAATTTCGGTAGAATTAGTTTTGCAGAGATCCATTTTGTATGGCAAGTTGTATATGGTTGGTTGGCAATATTCTTTTGTATTTGGAATTGTACAGAGAGAGACACAAAAGAATTTATACAATCAGAGAATTCTACCACATCTCTTCTTTTTCAGCTTTTCTTATACCATTTGTTAGGCCTACCAAGAATTTGCATAAATCCCTTTAAATCTATCTACTAACATAGATGTTAGGTCCTGTTTAGTAGAGATTTTCTGATAATAAATTTGTAAAAAATAATCTTTTTTGAAGAATATGTTGTTAAAAAATAAGGAAAAGCTATCGATTCACATACAAAATTATTTTACTGAAAATATGTTTGATTGAAAATGAATTTGAAGAAAAATATTTTTTTTAAAAAAAGCACCAATTGGAGCAGGAATATTTTCGAGTTGACTTGGACCTTGTTTGATAACCGTTGAAATGAGTTTTTTAGGGAATAAATATTTCATTGTAAAAATGTATAGTTGAAAATGAGTTTGAAAAAAAAAAGAAAAAAAATTGTTTAAATGATTGTCAAACAGGGGCTCAACTCTTTTGCACGAATATAGATATTTGCCGGCAACGTTTTTGAAGTTGTCAAGATAATGACCTAATAATAGCGAGTGATTGGTGACATAATGGTACGCCAAAAGAGTTGTGCTTTATATTAAGGTAACCCTGCGGTTACGCCAACAAACGAACTTTATCTTAAAATTAGCCATCATGTCCCCACACTAGGAGAACACTGACAATATTCATAGGCAAATAATAATTGAAACCCCAACAGGGGCATTGTATTTCCGGTTGTTCTCTTGCTTAATTCAATGATATGATTATATAGGAAGTGCATCCTATGTAGGATAATTTGTTGCTTTAAATCATCGAATTTTTCATGTTAAATTATCAAAAAATACATAAGTTATGGCGAAAGCGTACCTGAATCAGACATGGTTAATACAATAATGAATTTCGCGATTTTGTCTTCCAAATCTACACGTAACCTCCTTTTTTCTCTCTGTAATGGGATGCATAATAGAATGAATAATATGTACATGTGATTTGGAGACTATAACCATATTTACATAGCGACGTCCTTTGAACTAATTCGGCCCATCATGGAATTAGAGACTTGGGTTCGGTCTCTACACATTTATAAACACACACTTTAATTGGATGCATAACGGCCCAAAATCGAAGGCTTATTAGATCACTTTAATTGGGCTCAATCGAATTCGATAGCCTTTAATTTAATACACAACAATTTACGCATATAAGTTCACACGATCGTTTAAAAATTCCTTACATCCTGTCCTTTGCCTACCTCATCAACTCACCTATTCAATGTTTGTTTTCTTTCTAATTACAAATAATTTTAAAATTATGTGATAACATGAAAAGTTTTCATATGACCCTACGAAGAAGAGTAGCTAAACAATCCATTTATCACTTTTTTCATCCGAACCCCTCCAAGAAAAACCACTATTCTTCTTCAAGATTGCTATTTTTGGGGAGGTAAGGCATGGTGAGCGAATTAGACCTAAATTTGAGTGTGTCAAATCAAGAATATTAAAAGGATTTACTTTAGAGTTTGTTTGATTGGCATGGAAAATATTATCTAGAAATATTCTTTTTTTTCGAGGAAAACAAAAACATACTCCCCAAAGAAAATATTTTCCTTAAAAATAAGAAAAATTAGGTATATTTTCAAAAGTTGAAAAATATTTTCAATGGAAAGAAGTAGCAATCAAACATTAAGTTGAAATTTGGGTGAAATTTTGATATTTTTCATGAAAAATAATTTTAATCAAACACACGCTTGTACTTGAGTTGAGCAACTTGTTCAGTTTTTTGTTCTCTATGCTTGGATACTGAAAAATAAAAAACAAAAAATAAAATAAAATCTTGAGGTTTTCTTGGATTTTTGGCCTGGTTTTCTTGGGCTAAAAGAGTATTTGAGTTTTGGGAAAAATTCATTTCTAAAAGAGTAAATATACCCCTTTTCAAAATTAAGAAAAAAGGTTTAAAGTTTCAAAAATCAGATTTTTAAATTTTATTTATAAATTAATTTATTAAATATATATTTTATTGATTAAATACATTGAGGTCACAATTTTTCGTCACAGTTATCTCATTAATTAGTCACAAATTAAATTTTAGTCACAACTTATCAATTTTTTTGGTCACAACTTATTTTTCAATCACAAATCGAAAATTTTATAAGTCACAGAAATATTTTCGATCACAAATCCAAAAATTTTATAGGTCAAGGATTATTCATCGGTCACAGAATCCAAAATTTTTTAGGTCACAGATTATTTTTATTGCAAATTATTGGATATATTGGTCATGATTAATTTTTCGATCACAACTTCATCAATTGTGAGTCCCAGTCACAATTTTCAGGTCACATATCCAAATATTAGTGAATTTATTGGTCATGATTAATTCTTCGGTGACAAGTTTTTAGATTACCTATCCAATTGGGAGTCACAATCACGATCACAAATTTCAGCACTGCCAACG